CTCGCGGCTGCCACCCCCCGCGAGGCAGGAAGAGCACCAGGTGCTGGAGCCCCACTGGCACCTCCTGCCGCGTTCCTTGGATGTCTCCCAAGGACCCGGCGTGCTTCGCTTGCAAAATCCAGCCGTCACAGCGTGAGAGGAGGTGGATGAGACCCCCCCCACCACTGTCCCGGAGCAGCAGCAAGGAGGTGCCGTTTCCCCGTGCACAGCACCTGACCCAGCACCGTCCATGGGACATACCAGCCAACCCCACCACGTCCGGCGCATCTCAGTCACCCCCAGCACTGGCAAAGGTGGGTTTTTATTTGACAGACATCCCAACTCACAGCCGAGGGTGCACGCGGTCGCTGGGGCCAGGCCAAGGCTTGCACAACTCGGAAGAAAAAAAAAAAAAACCAGCCCAGAAACGAGGAACCAGAGCAAATCTCAGCAGCTCCATGTCCTTGAAGGGACTCCGGCTGTTATCTCCAGCCCGCAGCCTTTGATTCGACTCTGCAGGGGACAGCGCTCACGGAAATTAAACCACCATCTCCATGATCATCATGGAAAAGGGCTTCCCTTCAGAGACCTACACCTGCAATCAGAGACAGCCCATTGCAAGGCGCATCTGCCACCGTGCATGGAGAAAGGAGACAGAAAACGGGCCAAGCCGTCGCTTCGGCTGCGAGGATATCGGCGGTGCTTCAGGGCCCCGTGCAACTCGCGGGCCATTACGGAGAGTGAGCCACGTGCCGAGCTCGCTCGCTACACCGATTCTGCAGCTCCAGCAGAAAAGCAGCTCAATCCCTCGCGACTTGAACTGCCACGGGGAAAGCATCGCTGTTCTTGGGAACAACACGCCGCGCTGCCAGGAACAAGGAGAGGAGCCGTCACCGAGACAGGCTCCCACGTGGCCCTCACTCCCGAACCACTGCGGTGCTCCGACAGCCGGGTCACGTCTCTGTTGCCCGCTGACGTGCTGGGAAGAAGCCCTGCCCGGTAGCGCTCTTCTGACGGCGGCACTGGCCTGGGATGCTGCGTCCTGCTCCAGCTCGGTGCCACAGATGCTCC